AGTTCTTCTCAGGCGCACCACTAGAGGCAGCTCACGAAAATATTGGCGGGCTAGCCAGGAAACCCCGTCTAAAGTGCTAAAGTTCCTGCCCCAAGTGGCTCGGCGGCGCTCATTCCAAAACGCAGCGAACATCTCCTGGAAGTTACCGGTTCAAAACTTGAAGTCCCGTCTATGTTGTTGTTGTCGGGGGTTTTTTTCTTGAACACGGGAGCTAAAACGCTCAAATGGAAAGGGCCAATTAAATGCGTGGACGGCAACGTGAGACATCCAAGTGGAACGCGGCCAGGGAGACTGGGGCAAGATGAAGAAGCATTCTTTCTCTCCACTTCATTTCCCTTGGAAATCGGCCTCACAATCTCGCCGCTTTCACACTTCCCAGCTCCCTCCATTTTTTTTTTCTCTCTCTCTCCCCGAAACATGCCCTGAGTCAGCCAGGCTCATTAGTCGGGATGAGGCTACGCTAGCAGGCGAGCTAACCCACCCCGTGGATGGTGGGGGGGGGGGGTTGAGGAACAACAATGGGACAATGGGATGCGCTCAGGCGGTGGGAGCGCCAAGTTCCCTCCAAACTGGCTACGATGGCTCCACATGACGGGACATTTTTGTGCATCTGTGTTTTTCCATCCTCCGTTTCTTCACCCGTGCGGAAGTCCCGCCCAAATTTGATTCGAAGCAACAGTGGCGAGACCGCATCTCCGCAACCCTGTGAAGTTTTGGGGATTTTGTCAAGTCACAAATGAGACCAAGTTGGTGAACTTTAACTCTGACAACTTCATCCCTGGCAAGTATTAGGCTGTGTCCTACGCACGCCAGCAATTCTTCATATGTGTCCAGGTTAAGAGTTGCCTTTCTTTGTTGTTGTTGTTGTTGAAGGGATGATCGGGTGTGGCATTTTGCACCACATGTCCTCAAAATCAGTCAGTCCGGCAATGCAAAGTGGTCAGGGGGGCCGCAAAGAGAGCGGCTGGCAAGAAGCGGCTGCGGCCTGCGCGTGACAACAATCTCCCGCATTCCGCCCATGTCTTCCTTTTTGGACAGAGTGACAAGACCCCGAAAGTGCTGCAGAAACGTACGCAACGTCTCACGAAAAGCATGTGGACAAATATTTCATGGTCTGACCACACCAAAACGTTTCAACCTATTAGTCCTCCCAGGACAAAATCGAAAGATTTGTGTCAGAGATATATACATATACATACATTTATTCATTTTTTTTCAACGGGGGTGTGTAGAAGTCGAGGGCATTTCCAGTGGGCCCTCCTCATCAGAGAGAAGTTCCGGGGAAACTGGACCCAAGCACCCTGAAGAGCCTTTTTGCCTCACTTTTATTCACTCCTGTTCTTTCTCAAGAGTTCCTCCTGAAAGTATTTGGCAAACACTAGTGCAAAAAAAAAAAAAAAAGGACTTTGAGGGAAGAAAAACAACAAGTCGTTGTCGAGCCACCCACACCCCATCTGCTGTGGTATTATCTTCTTTTATTATCCGCAGATTATGTGCGCTGATACGATTCTACGGTTTGTGGGTTTTTTTTTTTTTATTCCATTTTTTTTTGTTGTTTTTTATTTATGAGACGGTGAGAGCAGGGTGGGGGGGGGGCGGCGTAGGGAGGATCATCCTCCGTGTGCATCTAATTGTCCATTCAAGACCCTCTTAATGGCTTGTCAGTTCCCCTTGCCCTTCCATTTTCTGTCCAATTAATTCCTTTCTCGCTCGCCGGATAAAGGGACACAATGAGGGCCCTCGGCGGCATAATGAATCATTAAAATTCAGCAGCGCGGCCCTGGCACTCGGCTCGCCCCGCATGCCAGCCCCGACTGGTTCAGAATGGGACGGACCCCCCTCTCCCCATTCTTCTGCCGCCTTTCCTTTGCAGGAAGGAATAATTGAGCTCTCCCTCTTCCTACGAAACTTCGATCGGGTCGGGAGCAAGCCAATGACTGTCATAAACAATGTTTCTTTTTTTTTAATTTTTTTTAAAATCATATCCAGCAGTTTAAAAAAAAAAATCCCCAAACTTCCCATTTTTGACCACCTCCCCTATTCTTGACGTCACACCCTCACTCAAGAAAATCAACAAATAAATGCATCAATAAATAAGTAAATCTGCCAGCGCATGACAGAAGGAATTTCAGCCAGTGAATGTGTCCGACACGTGACCGCAACCTCTCGTCTTCTTCAGTTCTCTAGAGCAGGGGTCCCCGATGTCAGACAATATTTTCAGGGAGCGGCATTTAAGGTGTGGCGGAAATAACACAACAAAATAATATGGTAGGAGCTGCATGCGAACTGGAGTGTTTTCCAAATATAATCATAAACACAAGGAGCGTCCAATCTGGCCGCAACACTCTGATCGCTGTGGTCATGTTTAATGCCTTCAAAATACGATGCGACGCAAATTCAAAGTGCATGAAAATGACGACTCACCACAGCCCCGAGCTTGATTTTCTGCAACCAGACGGTCCCATCTCGGGGTAATAGACGCCTCAATCGTGTGGTTTATGTCCAGTCTACTTTGTTTTGCGTCAAGTCTACTTCGTAATTTTGTTTTAGTCGCCGTTGCTGCAGAAAAGCCCCGCCTCACACAGGTAGGATGTCGGAAACAGCAACAGTGCTTTTGTGGCGATGTCAGAGTATTCAGCCACAACTCGAATCCAGTTGTCTCCAACAGACTTTTAAGGCCGCCGTCATTTGCGATCTCCAGCAGTTTTTTCAACTCGTTTTGCGAGCTCCGGCGTTTGTTTTGAGCCTAATTGGTCACGTGACGGAGAAGCGTGGCTTGACGTGCGTCAAGCTGGACACAGACGGATGTAACGGAGGATCCGGTCATTTTTCAAAATAAAACATCTTTCGTATACCGAAATAAATACAACGCAATGAAAGTTCTTTCTGTGCTGCCCGGTACCAAATGCCCTGCGGACCAGTACCGGTCCGCGGACCGGTGGTTGGGGACGCCTGCTATATGGGACAACAATCTCCAGTCTTCTTCGATGCTGCAATATGCCGCAGATGGCCATGACATGCGGTATGCTAAAAGCCAAACACAGCCGGCACATAAAAAAAACAAAAAAAGACAACTGCACTGTACCGGCGGCTACGTCATACTGCACACGTGACAAGCATTTGTCATCCGTGGGTCAAAGAATGACAAAAAGAGATACAGTTTAAGGAACAGGCATTTTATTAAGGCCGCCAGCACACGAGTTAGCTTGACAAAAGTGTGTCATTGGAAAAAACAAGTCAAGAGAACAACGGTGTTCGCAACCCCGCTTGCTCCAAACGATACATCCACAATAAGGTACAAATCCAATTGGAGACTTTTCGACACCTCCAGTTTTGTTTGGGAAAAATACTGACAGTCAAAAGACACAACGATGCGCTTCGTCGGCACTTGATGGCTGCTGAGATCAAAAACAAAACAAACAAAGAAACAACAACTAACTTTTGGAACCGGACGGACGCATTGACACATCGCGGCGGCGCCCGCCGCCACGGATACGCGCACAGATGCGTCGCGCGGCTGACGCCCGGCCCCGAGCGGGCCGCGGTCGGTTCGCGCCTTTCCTTCGGCCCGCCGTCATGACGAATCGGCGTTTGCCGACGCCCGTCGTGCCCCGCTCGCGCCCGTGACGACGAGGAACGCTGCTCTCGGTGGCGTTCCGTCTCCGTCGGAATGATTCCGCTCCTTTTGCTCTTCTGATCAAAGCAAAACAATCATGGGGAAAATTTCACACGTTTTGCGTGCGTGTCCGCGAGAAGAGGAGCCAATAATGCAAGAACATAAATATCGATTTATATACACGCAAATACACACAGTAAAAAGACGGTGAGATTCATACCAGTCGCTTTTGTGAAGACTCGACGCGCGGGAATTCCGAAATGCACTTCATTGTTCATGTCCACACTTTTCGCATCCCGGGAATCAGTCAGTAGCTCGCCCCAGGTCAAGATGACTCTGCATTTTTTGACCCAGCCAAACGGCCATTTTGTTCGCTTGCCCCCCCCACCCGCCCTCAAACTTTGCGTCAGAGTTGCGACACGGACGGGAATGAGGCCTGCGTGAAGGGTGACGTGACAAAAGGTGGGAGCGCCGCGCACGCTTCTCCCGCCCGGCACTGCCGTCATCTCATCATCTCGTATCGTCGCGACGAGAAGTTTCACGGCAAACACTCGCGAAGATCGACATCTTTCATCAACGGATTCTGAAAGCGGGCGCATTTGGAGCCGCGAAGCGCTTTGCTGGGCTGCGGGCGGAACGCCAGAGGTTCGGTGATGGCGATCTCTGCCAAAAACGTTTGCCTCGAAGGGAATTGCCGTCGGACAAAAACGCCAATTTGATTTCCAATGACATTCCGTGTCTGTCATGTTTCGGTTTGTGACCAACAGGTGGCACTGTGGGGCTTTTCCCTGCAGCTGCACACCTGTTGGTCGTTAGGTTAATTCGTGGCTCGAAAAGGACCCCCGGCCCGCCGACGACTCGTGGAGTTGCGTACTTTTCACTTTTCTCTATTTTCTGCGCCCGGCCGAAACGGCTCCCAGTGGCCCCCGCCGTGATGTCATTGCCACCGTTCTGGCGTGCGCTTAGCGCGCTAGCTAGCGAGCTGCACCTACGCCACCTCTTCCCTGGCTAGCAACACTTGCGAGGCAGCCGAGTGTCGCGCCGACGGCCGGTGCCTCACGTCACAGGGAACGAAATATGGCGGCCGCTCGACGACGTCGCGTCCGTTTGTCAGGAGGGGCTCGCTTGCAGCGGACCCCAAAACTCGGATTTTAATGCTGCGGTGGACCGCGAGCTCTCTGATGCAGCTGTTTTGTGGGAACTGTGTGAAAGAGGCTCGTGTTTCACCGCTAAGTGCATGCCATAAAAAAAAAAAAAGTACAGGCCACAGTAAGATTATACGTCCTCACGGAGGCACCACCAAGAATTCTCTCGGTGCGCAAAGTCAAGCGTTGCAAAGAAAGTGAGGATTTCCGAGAAAATCAGCAGGCACTTTTTTGTTGAGTTTTTTTTTGCTTGTCGCGCTTGACCGTGACGCATCCCCGCCGCCCGTTACGGTCGGGTCAGCGTGGTGTAGACGGGCTGTTCCCAGCCGGAGGCGGGGGGGCTGTGAGCGGGCGCCACGGTCAGGCCGTTGAGGATGGGGCTGCCGTAGGGCCGCCGGGGCGAGTGGAAGTACGGGTACTGGTAGAGGCCGGACGGGTAGCCCGAGTACGGGGCGTAGTAGCCGGAGCTCTGCAGGTCGTTGTAGTCGCACTGCGAGGCGGGGAAAGGGGCCGGCGAGGGGGCCACGCAGGCCTGGCCGTTGTAGGCGCCGTAGTCGGGGTGCGAGGGGGAGTGCTGGCTGTAGTGGCTCGGGCTCAGCTGCTCCGTTTTGATCTGGAGGCGGTGCTGGGACACCTCGGGGGCCGCCGCCGCCGCCGCGCTCTTGCGGTTCCACGCCGAGCCGCCGTAAGCGTAACAGCCCTGCTCCGAGGACAAGGCGGCGGCGGCGGAGGAGGACGGAGCGGCGCCGTGGCCGTTCAAGGGGAGGTACTGGTCGAACTCGTGCACGTCGAAGGCCTCCATGTTGCTGATGACGTCCGTGCTCAGCTCCGAGATGTCCACGTTGCTGAAGTCGATGTTCTGCCTGCCGCCGTCGGCCGGGCGGCGCCCCTGCTGCTTGGGGTCCTGCTTGGCGCCGTGCTGCGCCTCAGTTTTCGGGGTGGTGGGCGGTGTCGGCGGACCGTGGGGCTGGCCTGCAAAAGCCACAATCGCAATCAGAGAGCGCCGATGACCGCGGCCAACGACGGAGACGCGTTCTCCAAACGACCCAACCGAAAAGCTCGCCGACGCTCAATTACCGTTGAGCAACCACTCGCTGTTGTTTAGCGAGGTCAAAAACGACACCATCACACGGGAGGGACCGAAGGACTCGCCGACGTCACGGATTTGGATTCGGCGCCAAAGACAATCGGTCACGACACAAATCGGAAAATGATTCCTGTTGCGAGGCGGAAATCGGACCATTTGGAGCATCTGAAGTCAAACGCTGGCTCTGAACGATCCCTCCATGATGTCGAGGGCTGCGAATTCATTTGAGAATCGACGAGCTGTCGAACGGCCGATTAACGAGGACACATGTCGACCCGGTTCGGCATGGATTGGGGAAACCGCTGTCCGGCGCTGATTTATTTGATTGTATTTTTTTCCCGGGGACGTCAAATTACGACAGCGAGCTCCGCCCGCGTCGGCCGGCTCGGCGGTCTCGCGCGGCCTGCGCGCCTGCGATGCCGACGTGAGCGTGGAACTCGGACCGCTTCCCCCGCGTGAGCCCCAAATCTGCTTCGACCCAAATTTACGCCTTGCTCTACCAGTCGCAGCATTCTCGTCCGTTTTTGGGGCACCCATCCAGCGATCTAATTGCGACGAGAAGGCCCTCCATTGTTGTGGTGGAAAGGGGCCTGACCTGGATGTTCGGGATGGCGGTGCCCGTCGCCCATCCCGCCGAGTCCAGCCATCCCCGGCTCCGCTTTGTACATGTGATGATGAGGCTGCTGCTGCTGCTGCTGCTGCTGGGCGAGCTCGGCACCAGAGTCCGAGTCGCTGTGGCCCGGCTTGACGTTCTTCCGCCGCCTGGGTTGGTACTTGTAGTCCGGGTGGTCCTTCTTGTGCTGAACCCGCAGCCGCTCGGCCTCATCCACAAACGGCCTCTTTTCGCTCTCGGACAGCAAACTGTGAGGAAGAGACATCGTCTCGGTGACACCGTCCGCAATTGCAAACATGTCGGAAGTCGTCGAGCGGTCGGACGGCCGGCCGATGATCCGCGTTCTTTGGGCCCGGGACCGCAGCGCAAATGGGCCATGAAAATCGGTTGGCAAATTTGGGGCAAAAGTCGAATTGTGAATGGCGTGCCCGCCTCCGAGTCCGTTGCAGAACTCGACGTCGAGAGCGCGTGAGAGAGAGAGAGAGAGAGAGAAAAAAAAAGGGCCTTTTCTTACCGCCACAGTTTGCCGAGCGTCTTGCTGAGCTCGGCGTTGTGCAGGTGCGGGTACTGGTCGGCCAGCTTGCGACGCGCGGCCTGAGCCCAAACCATGAAGGCGTTCATGGGCCGCTTGACGTGCGGCTTGCTCTTGAGGGAGCCGCCGCCTCGCACCGGCACGGGCACCAGGGACCAGTCGTAGCCCTTGAGCACCTGCGACACGGCGTCCCGGATGCACGCCGGGAAGCGCTCGTCGTCCTCCGAGTCCAACTTCTTGCTCAAGCCGGCCAGCAGAGACGCGGCGCGGCCGTCGGAGCCGGCGGGCGACGACGGCGCGTCCGAGTCGGACTCGTCCTGGGACGCCGAGCTGCCGGTGCCCGCGGGGCTGCACGCCCGCTCGCACTTGTCGTGCTCCTCGCTCATCTTCAACATGGCTCCTCGGACCCGGAATTCGCCGAGCGACGAGAGCGACGAGGCTGCAGCGCGGGCGCGCGCCTTTTACGCACCGCGCGCTCTCCTCTCCTCTCCTCTCCTCTACTCTCCTCCCCCCGAAGCCCCCAAAATAAGATATTCCCAAAACGCACACGCGAACAAAAAGCGGACTCCTTCGTTAGCGTGCGTTGTTCTTCATGGCAGGCTGTAGCGACGGCGTCCGTCCGTGCTGGCTGCGCGCTCGACGTTTGCGCCGCTCGACTGTGCTCCCGAGCTTTGACGGCGTCACTCACTCCGCCTTCCGCCTGCCATTGGCCCGAAGCGACCCCCGAGCGCGCGCGCAGCCCCGGAACGGCCGTTTCCGTTCATTGGGCCCTTTGGTGGCTTGGCTCCACCCCGCCTTGGGCGTCGCGCCGTCACTGTGGTGCAGCTTCGCCGGCACCTTTGGACTGAATCGGAAGGGCCGGTCGTTTGTTCTGTTCACCAACGTGGCGTGGAAATGCAAACCAAGCCAATGTGCGCAGAATGAAAACGTGCTCGTTTCAAAAGAAGACACCGAGATCACAAATCTCGTCTCTATCTCCATCTATGAGGATGTTTGTATGTGTGCATGTTGGTGTGCCAGGGCAGGGGCAAGAGGGGGCCTGTTCCCCTCAAATAAACTACCCCCCCCCAAAAAAAACCCATCCTATTCCACATATTTTGAGTATCTCACGCCTCTCTCCTCCGCTCAGCTTCCTTCTGTCTTGCCGGTGACTATTTTTTCAGTTGATGTTTTGAGCCGCCTCACGGTCGCACGCAGCAGACCCGAGCGACTGTTGAGTCGTTCTTTCTCGGCGAATGTCCTTTGTTGGGGGGAACGCTCCCTTTTTTTGGCGCGGCGCCTGCGCTTCTGGCAGGTAGCGAGGCGAAGGACGCCGCTGGTTTGAATCACCGCGACGGCCGCCGCGGTGCCGGGCCCTCCCGTTGACCCTTCGCTCCCGCCCGCACCCGCCCACCGCGGCTCCCATTAAAACGCCATCATCGGCGCTTTTCCGGAGCGATTGGCAGTTTTATTTCAAGCTACGAGGCGGCGCGCGGCGGTGGAAAGGCCTCGTGAACGGGCTGAGGGGAAACAATTAGTCCAAAGTGTCTGAGGGTGCGTTTTTGGCCTTCAGCCACGTCCAAAGCATAAAAGAGCTCAAGTGCTTCCAGATTCTTGTCTGCCATTTCTCAAGTCTTTCTTTCTGGCGCAGGTTCCGTGCGCTCCTTTGAATGAGGAGGGATGAACACCAAGGATTTGGAAGCTGTGTTCGTAGCCGCCCGCCCGCTCGCTCGCTCGCCGGCTTTTCCTGCAGGAATCTGCCATCTGCGAAACGTCAGGTGTCTCCGTGGTGTCCTTTTTGGGGTTTTTTTTTTCCCCCCTCTGCCAAGCATGAAAGCGCGAGGGCGAAAGGCCCTCCCGTCCCCGCCGTGTGTTGCTTTGCTCGTCGTGCTGCCGTCCAGGAAACTGCAAAGTGGGGAAAGCCTCCAAATTGGAGGAGTGGATGGATTGCAAGGCCGCTCAGCGTCACGACAACCGTGCTCTTGCAAATATTCTTTCCACCTCAATCCTGTTTTGGTCGCGCGCTCGCTTTCTTCTTTCTTTGTTAATTAGTTTGGTCGTGCTCTTGCAAATATTCTTTCCACCTCAATCCTATTTGGTCGCGCACTCGCTTTCTTCGTTTTTGTTCATTTCGCCATCGGTCTCGAGACAGTTTGGTGGGTATTTGGTGTCTTTCTTCTTGTTTTTGCCCAGTTAGCTGGTTAGCGCTCCGCTTTTCACCGGTTGATTGGGAGGTGTCCAAACCTTTGGGTTGGAGGGCCGGATTTGAAATGTGTCAAAAGCCAGACAAGAAAGCAATTTGACATTTGTCGACTTGGCCGATGTCGACCGTTTTTTTTTTTTTTTTGTCACATTGAAGTTCGCGTTTGCCTTGGAGCTTGTCACTTGGGTGTTTTTATTTTTCCCTTTGGGCGCTGGGTCCCGTGGACTGTCTCTTAGTTAGCTGGCTAGCGTTGCGATATTTTTAGAGGGCGAGCCTGCTCGGCTCGGCTCCGCTCGGCTTCCATCCGCAAGCAGACGCAAAACGCAAAGGGCGACCCTCCCCAAGGTGTACCAAGATATCCCAAAGGAGCGTGGGCGCGTGTTTTCCATTCTCGCCAATCCACCAAACACGCCCCCCCCTCCCCACCCCCCACTTCCAAACTTGTCTCGCCGCCCTCTCATCCTCACAGCATATGCTCGGAATAAAACTTGCGCTATGCTGTTGCTGTTTTTTGTTGTTTTTTTTCCTTCTGGTATCGGCATCACGGCCGCCTTTGTTTGTGCGGCACGTAGCGACGTGTGGCGGCAAGTGGAGCCCGGAAAACGCCAAGGCGTCGGCGGGGTTTGCTCATTTTCTCACAAGTTGATTGGACTGGGAATTCTTTGATTGACACGTCATGTCACGATGCGAGGTGGCGGTGGGCCCCAAAAAGCAGGTTGTACTTGAAGAAGTGTATTGATAAAACACAGAAAACTAAATCCAAAACAAACAAAAGTCAGAAGAACAAAACAAATTCAAAGTAGCAAACAAAAACCACGACTGAAGCTGTAAACTGACGGTCACCAAAACATGATGGAGAACATAACAGACAAACATGACAGCTCCAACAAAGAAACAAACACCGAGCCGACACCGAGCGGTCGTGCCGGGAGTCCTTTTCAAGCAATAACGACCAACAGGTGTGCAGCTGCAGGGAGAGCCCTACAGTGCCACCTGTTGGTCACAAACCAAAACACGACACGTCAAGCATTTTTCACGACAAGCGTAGCAAATAATTTGGTCACTGGCCTTGAGACGGGAGGAAGAGCTGTCGGTTTGACGCCGTTGCACTCAGTCCGCACGCATTTTCGCGTACTGAACCTTGGCGGAGGCCGAAGGGTCTTGGCAAAGGGGAGCCGCTCATGGCATCAGATATCGATTGGTCAACAAGACCCCGTTTGAGTGTGAAACGTCTTCGGTGTGCTGAGTTCAGCGCGCCAAACATCGAAATATATTCATGCTTGTGTTTTTCTTCAGTAGATTTTTTTAACATGACAAACTGTATACAAGTGCTCCATAATATTTCAAATGCAGGTCATGATGATTTTTGTTTTCCTCAATCCTGACATTTTTTTTCCCCATTTGGTATTTGCATTTGTTGTATGTCACATTTAGTTAAAAAAAAATCACTTGTAACTTGTGACTTTGAAAACGTTACAACATGCATCGTGTTATTTCTTGTATCGATTTTATTGTTTTCAAATATTAATCAAGACTGGTGAGACTTTCATTGGAAAAAAAAAAAAGGCTCCCAACTTCATGTCAATCCAGCCCGATTTCAAATTGCTGCCATTTTAAGCGCCGCGGCAGCGGCCGAGAGCGCAAAACTCGGGCGCTTGCGTGTGCCCGCTTGCCGCTCTCCTGCCGATTCCCCGGCCGCCGCCCCGAGCGTCAAAATAAGGAAGTGTGGCCTTTCGTCGAGTTGCCGATGCGAATCTCACTTCACCATTCTTCAACGGATGACCCGGGGGGGCCGCGCAGGCGACAGCACCAACGGGTTTTTCAGGTTGCGCTCACGCGGCACGGGAGTTCGCGTGGCGTGGGGGGCGGGCGGGCGGGCGGGCCCGCCGGGACCACGTGCAATGGCTTGAGTAGCGTGAAGGGCTTCGAGAGTTTCAGTCAACGCAGCAAAAGCCGACCTCTTCGTTCCCGGGGGGGGTTGACAAGTACTGTGACAAGGAAGACGCCTGCTGGAAAAAGAAATGTGAACCACTCCGCCAACATAAACCGAGACCAAAAGGGTGAAGTGCAGTACATCCTGGACCGGTGATGACAAATGTCACGGGATGAAAGAATACGTGGAGGAGGAATCCGTCCCGCCGCTGCCGTCAGCGATGTGAAGCCCCACACCAGCAAATGGCTCAAGCCGGGAGCGACCGCTCTCTATTGAAGCACATTTATCAAAGAGCTCAAGAAACGGTCTTCGCCTGCTGTCAGCTCCGCGAATCGCTACCCTTGCTGACTGACGGCCAAATGTGGAGCGCAGCCTGGAGAAGAAGAGCGCATGAGGTTGGGGGTCCAATCGACCCCACGCGCAGCGCAGTAAACGTCGCCGTGTGAACCGCGACTCCAGTTGACTGAGGTCACTCCGCATCCCTCACGCGCCCACGGACAATTGATACTGCGCGCTCGCTAGAAGAAACGCGGCGATGTGAACCACTAGCGGACAGAGCGAAAGGCGGGGTACACCTTGGAGCACTGAGCAAGTATTTTCAGATCCTGACCCCCCCCTGCACCCCCCCTTCCCATTTTAGGTGAACATGCGCATTCATGAGCGGCGTGTTTTTATGGGCCTTTTTCCACCCCGCGTCTTCTCGGGCGCGCACCTTCCCTCCTCCTCCTCCTCCTCCTCCAGCGCCGCCGTCTGTGCATCTCGCGGCCGCAGTCGCATGCGTGCGCCTCGGGAAGATGACAAAGAGCCGTTTTGTGAGGCGGGATGCAGCTGCTGAAATCTGACGAGATCCAGCTGAAGAGAGAAGGGAGCAGGTGGGTCAACAAGCCCGCTCGGGCCGTTCCCACAATATCAGGCTGCGGCACTCGGGCCCTCCGGCACCACCCCGAACACCCACCCCGCCCGGCAAACATCGGCCCGCGTCAAAAGTGTTTGACGGACTGGCAGTGGCGTGACGTCACGGCAACGCCGCTCCGCAATGGAAAAATATAGTGTTGGAGGCGCTTTGCGCCGCTGCAGCCAGACTCCCCTTGATGTTTAGCATTTGATTAGCCTTTCGTGGTTTGGTGAGGTTGGGCCGAGTCGCGCCGTCAGCCGCTGTCGTTGACGAAAGAGAAGAGCCACTCAAGTTCCCGTTCACGCAAAAGCTGTTTGACCTTTTGCATTTTTCTTTCTTTTTTGCCCCCTGACCGTGCCGACGGCGAGCCGGGCTGTGCTCTTCAAGCCAAGATACGTGCGGACGGTATTGCGCAAAGTGCGATTAACAGAAAAAAAAAAATCCTTTCCCCCTTCCAGTCACACCTCAGTCTGCCATGAAAGCTCCCCGGTCATTGCAACGCGTCGCCGCGGCACACTCGGACCGCGTTCGGTCACGTCTTCGGCGCGGAGGCCGGCGTCGGTGTCGCGGATGGGACGCGCTCCTCTTCGGTGTGTGACAGAAGCCGTCGGGAAGACATGCAAACGAGCCGACCCGAGTGTCGGCAAACGGGGAAGTCCAGCGCCTCGCTGTTAACGGTCATATCGGCGCCCGTCATTTCCCCGTTTGTCCG